CAAGAAGATGTGGTACATATATACCATGGAATATTACTCAGCATTCAAAAAAGATAAACACATGCAATTTGCAGCAACATGGATGGCGCTGGAAGGGATCATGCTCAGCGAAATAAGCCAAAAAGAAAAAGAAAAATACCGGATGGTCTCACTCATAGCAGGAATCTAGAAAACTTAAATAAGGGACCAGGAAAATGAATATAAGAAAGTGAAAATCAAAATCAACAAAAAACTATGAACCAGAGACACTTTTTGGGGGGTGGGGGGCGGGAGGGGAAGGATTGGGGTCAGAATGGGGCGTTTGCAATTGTATGGGGGAATATAAAAATAAAATTTAATATTAAAAAAAAAAAAAAAAAAAAGTAGCTATTCTCTTGATTCTCTATGTTGTAGCATATATTAGACTTTCATTTACTTTATGCTGAATATTCTGTTGTTTGTATTTATTACATTTTGTTTATCCATTCATTTGTCGATGGAATTTTGCTTCCATCTTTTGGCTATTGAGAATAATGCTGGTAAGAACACTGATGTAGAAGTATTGATTGTAGCCCTTGCTTTCAATTCTTTTAGGATTATTACTAGGTATATAACTGGAAATGAAATGACTTGGCCACATGGTAATTTGTCACGTTTTTAAGGAATGATCACACTGTTTCTTATAGCAGCTGTGCCTCTTCCCATTCTCCCAGTAAAGCACCAGCTTCTATTACACATTCTTGCCAACACTTATTTTCTATTTTAGTTTATTTTTATTTTTTGTTTTTATTGAAGTTACCATTGGTGTGCAATGCTGTGGTAATATGAATGCTAAGATGGGTGTGGTTCAGTCGTGACTCAGGAAAGCTGCAGTCCAGTATATGTATACATTGGCATGTAACCTTAGCTTTGGTTATTTGCACACAATAATTTCAGTGTTCACTTGCTCTCTCCAAATAACACAACAGGATTGCCACCTCTGCACAACCATGAATATGCCACCTTCACCAACAATATGAAAGGGATATGTTCCTGCTGGCCCCTGCCCCCTTGGCAGTTGCCTCTACTCAGTATATGAAACTCCTCCACACACAGTCCCTTTTCTTTTCAAATTGTCTCCTCTCTGTGGGTACCAGAGTGAGATTTTGTGTAATCTTTGAAAGAAGTATCTCTGTTTCCCAGAGTTCCTAATACCCCTGGACATATGCCCCTTTAGTTTTCAATACCAGATGTTTGGGGGTAAAAGGGTCATCATTTCTCCAATGCAGTTAACATTGGAGTAAGCAACATGGGACCCAAACCCCTTCCACCTCAGGGAGAAGCTCTCAGTGCTTGTAAGTGCTTCCCTTCTGTGATTCACCATGTCAGGGATGGCTGCTGTCTCTGCCTCTGTTATCCATCATGATATGTCCTTTTTGTCTATTGCTGAGGATGAAGTGTTTGGCTCTACTCAGTTCATTTTCAGAGGGAACTACCCCACAAGTAGTCATATATTTGGTGTTTCCATCAAAGGAGATGCACTCAGGGTCTGTCTCTGATACCATTTTCCCTAAAATCTATATGTATTTTTCTTATTGTTAAGTTGAGAGCAATGTACAATTCATTTTCTGTTTCTTAGACAGAAGTAGCCATCCACCTGTTTGATTCTAATATTTTAATAGTTTTGGGTTTTGTAATATAACCATGCAAATTCCATAGTTTCAGAAAGTATGTATTCACAAAATTAGCTTTCTGAAGAGGACAAACTACTGGATCTGGATATCTGGGATTTGTGAGGGAATAACTCTCCAATGAATTAATAAATAATTAATATATTTCTTTCTTTTTTTAAAAGATTTATTTATTTATGCATACAAGAGCTGGGGGTACAGGCGAGAGATGCAGGGGGGTGAGAGGATCCACCAGAGACATAATAGGGAACAGAACAGGCAGACTGACTGAAATACACTACTGAGGGGAGCAGCAGGGAGAGACAGGAGAGATCTGCCTCAGCATGAGTGTTTCTCCCTGGCCAGCCGGGGATCAAACTCGTGCTGTTGAGTCTATGGATTGCTTCATAGTGCAGTGCTTAACCACTTGGGCCACCAGGGAGGCCCTATTTTTTTTTTTATTTCTGAGGCCATTTATTTACAATAATTTTCAAACACATAGAAAAATTGGAAAAATGATACAATAAACAATCATATAATCAACTTCTGCATTTTATATATTTGACACAGTGCCACATCAAAAAAATCTTTCTCAATTTTTGAGCACATGTGTATACATTTTCTTTCTAAAATACTAGCTACAGACATCATGTCACCTCATTTTCCAACAAATATTGAAAAATTCAAAGAAAATTCTCTCCATACCACAATACTAAAATTATCACAATACACAAAAATTAATAATGTGATGTTTGAATATCTGCTATATATACAAATTAACACAATTACTTCCAAAATGTCTGTTATAGTTGAACTTCTGATCCAAAGTCTCACTAAAATTGACACTGAATTTGATTGCTATGTCCTTTTTGTCTCTTTTCATCTACATAGGCTCTAGTGATTTTTAAAATGATTTCACAAGAGTCCAGACCAATTGGCTTGTTGAATGCCCTGTGTTCCAATTTTTGTCTGATTATTTCATGCATGCTGAAAATTAGTTCTGGAAGAATAGGAACCAGAAATCTTTTTCTATAAAGTCAGGTTGTAACTATTTTTCACTTTGTGGCCTTACAATCTCTGTCAGGACTACTCGACCCCGATAGTGTAACATGTCGACAGTCACAAACAATACATCAGTGAGGAAGCGGTGGGGGGGGGGTGGCTGTATTCCAATAAGACTTTAAAATAAAAGTAAACATTTGCCTGAATTTGGTGAGGATGCTATAGTTTATCAACTCTTAGTCTAAAGACTAGCTTAAATATATATTAAGCTGATTTATAAATAATTCTTTATCTACCACAAATAAGATGTAGTAACTTCATGATTTATCAAGAGATAAAAATGTCGGGTTGCCCACTATTGGTGATGCTAAATTTAATTAGTAAGGTCAGGTGGTGACTCCAGACCTCCACATTAAAATGTATGCACTGGCCCTTGTAGTCAACAATAATCTACAAGGTGATTTTTTGGTATGTGGGACTACCTTTTTCTCCAAAAATTCCATCCCCCCATGATTTCTGTGGCCACCCCATAAATATTAACAAATGATGAATTACTGATTCATTAATAACTTCTTCATTTATTGGCTAATATTTTACCTATCACTTAGGACTTATAGACTTCTTCTTTAATATGCTATAATAATTTAGTCATTTTTATGTTAAAATTGATATAGATATGTAATAGCTCTGGATTTAGATCTTGCCTAGATCACATGCTGTAAATGAATTTTTATATAAAAAAACGCAACTTGCAAAATGTGCAGTAGCAATATATTCCTTTTTCCACTGCTAAGCTTATAAAATGTAAGGATTAAAGACTCTATTACAGAACCTCCATTACAGGGCTCTGATTTACCCTAAGGGAGAAAAACAACTTTTTTTATTATTTTATTTTTTAATATTAATTTTTTATTTTTTAATCATTGTTCATTTTTAAACAATATTTGCTTCCCCCCAAACAACTTTTATATGTAAGCTTTGTGAAATCAGGAATTGGATCTGTCTTGATTTCACTGCAAACAGTGAGCAATAAAATATATTTTTCAATTAATAAATTGGTAAGTTATTGAAAATGGATATGAGGAAATAGAGGCAGGTATGTAAGGAAACCAACTTCCTTATTTTGCCTATGACTGAGGTGTTTCAGTCCTGCATGAAACCATGATAGCCTTTATTCCAAAGAGGAAATGCAAATGGCCAACAGGCATATGAAAAAATGTTTAACATCCCTTATCATGAAGGAAATGCAAATCAAAACCACACTGAGATACCACCTTTCACTAGAAAGAATGGCACATTCCAAAAAAAAACGTGCAACAACAAATGTTGGCGAGGATGCAGTGAAAAAGGAACTCTCCTACAACTCTGGTGGGAGTGCAAACTGGTCCAACCACTGTGGAAAGCTGTCTGGAGGTTCCTCAGTTTACTAAAAATGGAGCTACCATACAATCCAGCAATTCCACTTCTAGGGATCTACCCAAAGGACACAAAAATAGTGATTCAAAAGAGCACCTGTACACCTATGTTTATTGCAGCACTATTTACAATAGGTAAAACCTGGAAACAACCCAAATGCCCAAAAATAGATTACTGGATCAAGAAGATGTGGTATATATACACAATGGAATATTATTCAGCATCAGAAAAGAAAAACTCATGCTATTCTCAGCAACATGGATGGAGCTAGAAGGTATTATGCTCAGTGAAATAAGACAGAAGGAAAAAAGAAAATATCGGATGGTTTCACTAATAACAGGAATATAGGGGAACCAAATAGGACATCAGTGTAAAAAAAATAATAATTACAGTACAAACCACAACAAAGCAAAAACAGACAATCGTAAACCAGAGACATACTGCAGGGGAGGAGGTGGGAGAGGGATTAGAGGGAGGGAGGGAGGAGCACAGGAAGATGAGGTGATGGTGCATGGGTGCATTGGTGAAGGAAATTCTAGGGGGACTCAATCTGAGGGGGTAGGGGGAAGCAAATATTGTCTAAAAATGTTTAAAAAATGATAAATGTTAAAATAAAATAAAAAACATGAACGTCTTGGGCAACTGAGATTATTGTTAACTCTGCATATAGGTATTTTACTGAACATTACTTTCCTCTTTTGTGTTATTTCCTCTGCAGCTGGCTTTCCTTGTTACACGTTTTCAACTTGAGTAAGAATCTTTGCAGAAAAATGAGCTTCTACCAGAAGATTAGGTAATAGCTCCTGGACTATGTTGGGAGTGAGCTGATCATGGAATATGGACCAGAATACCCAAATTCTCCAGAAATTGAATGTCAAGAATTTGCTGCATACTCTCTCCCAATATGATGTCATGAAGAGTTACTTGTAACAAATCTGAAACGCTTTTTATATTCTTTGCCCAAAGAATGACAATTCATTGTTTTCCTCTTTTTCCAGGAGACATCATCTGGTTTGACTGTTCATTACAATTATCCTGAAAAGAGAGGTTAAAAATGACACTATATTTCAAAAAAGCCCTGGAAGACTAAAACAAGAACACTACGAAATATTGTCAAAAAGAAGCTAAAGAAGACCTAAAGATATGGAAAGACACTGCATGTTCAAAGATCTGATTTAATATAATTAAGATGGCAGTACTCTCCCTGAAATTTATTTAAACATTATACTTGTCAGTAGCTCAATTAAAATTTTCTCAGAAATTGAAATGCACATCTTAAAATTTACTGAAGTGTCCTGATAACAGGCACTTGTAGCCAAAATATAAAGAGTATTCTTACCATTTATCATTCAAGACAATGGAACGATTAAATACAAAGTATTTTGACTCAATATTCCCCCAAAGAAGATATGTAAATGGTTAATAAGCACATGAAATATACTCAATATCATTATATATCTGTGAAATGCAAATCAAAACCACAATGAAATAACATTCCACACCCACTAAAGTATCAAAAAAGATAAACAATATCAACTTTTGGTGAGTATGGGAGGAAAACTAGAACCTCTTTTATTGGCTAGGGGCAATGGAAAACCATTTTTAGAATTTTAATGCAAGGTGGTACAAGATCTATTTTTTGCTTCAAGAAATATATCTCTATATTATGTGGGAAACTCACTGCAGGACAGAGAGGTAGATTCCATTTAGGAGGATATTGCAGTGCAGCCCAGAGAAGATGACAACTGGAATTTGGGAGAAAGTGATGAATATACCATAAGGAAAACTATTTGTGATCTAGTGAGGAGGAAACAATAGTAGAATTTAGCAATAGAATGTCTTGAAATAGAAAAAGATAGGGAATTATAATATAAAGAGTGCTCCAGGTCCTGCATGGTGCAGTTTTTCTTCAGCTAATGGATGGAAATGCCTAGCAAAGAACTGAGAGACCTGAAGAGCACTAAGTTGGAGAAGAAGATGGTAACTTCTGTTATCATCATGGTGAGCTGTTACTAAGATATGTTATTAGAGATGTTGAGTTGACAATTGGAAATAGCAGTCAGGAACCCATATCTATTTCAGGGCTGAGAAACATATTTGACCATCATTGCCTTCTGTGTGGCTCATTAAATCACTATGGACAAGACTGTCTATGTGAGTGTATAATATGAGGATAGAAGTGTTTCAAGAACAAAGCAATACAGAATATATAAAATGTAAAGAGATGAATAAAGTTCAGCTAGAGGGATAGGAAGAATTCCAGGAGTTTTGAGATATGAAAACCAAAGACAAAAGGAGGGTATTGTTAAGAGGACTAAAAGATATTCATCATTGGAGGCCTAAGAGAGAATTATTTTTGGTGGAACGATAGAGACAAGACCAGATATCAGCATGTACAAAAAAAGGAGGGAGGGATAAATATATCAGATTAACAAGAGTAAGAATTATCTTGTTACAATGAAGGTTGAAAGGATGCTGTGGAGAAGACAGGACTGCACATGGTGCAGAGAATGTATGAGCAATGACTTCTCTATTGAGAAGTCAAGAACCAATTTTCAGGTGGAGTGATTATCTTTTAAAAGTAGGGAGCATTGCAAAATACTACATGACACACCTCTCAGTAACATCTTTAAAGACTCATCCCCCAACACAAAGAAAGTGAAGGAAAAGATAAACCCCTGAAATTACAATAAACTAAAAAGCTTCTGTACAAAAGAGACATTAACCAAAACAAAGAGACACCCTACTGATTGGGAGAAAATTTTTGCACTCCATACAACTGATAAGGGACTGATCATAAGGCTCTACAAAGAGCTCATATTATTCAATAAAAACAAAGTGAACATCCAGTCAAAAAATGGTCAGAAGAGCTAAAAAGACATTTCTCCAAAGAGGAAATGCAAATGGCCAACAGGCATATGAAAAAATGATCAACAGCACTTGTAATCAGGGAAATGCAAATCAAAACCACAACGAGATATCACCTTACACCAGTGAGAATGGCACATTTAAAAGAAAAAAACTAGCAACTAAAATGTTGGCGAGGATGTGGTGAAAAAGGAACACTTGTACACTGCTGCTGGGAATGTAAAGTGGCCCAACCACTATGGAAAGTTGTGTGGAGGTTCCTCAGTCTACTAAAAATGGAGCTTCCATATGAGCCAGCAATTCCACTCCTAGGAATCTACCCAGAGGACACAAAAACATTAATTCAAAATGATACCTGCACCACTCTATTTATGCAGCACTATTTACAATAGGTAAAACCTGGAAACAACCAAAATGCCCAAAAAAGATAATTCTTGCCATTCTCAGCAACTTGAATAGCTCTGGAAGGGATTATGCTCAGTGAAATAAGTCAGAAGGAAAAAGAAAAATTTCGGATGGTTTCACTTATAGGAGGAACACAGGGAACCAAATAAGGGATCAGGAAAAATAATAATAATAGCGTATTTAAAAACAAAATTAGCAGGCAACTGTAAATCAGAGACATTCTGCAGGGGAAGAAGACGGATCAAAACAGGAGAGGAAAGAGCACAAGGACTATGACAATGGTTCAAGGGTAAATTGGTGGTGGGAATTTTACGGGGAATTCACCTGATAGGAGAAAGCAAGCACTGTGCAAAAATGAACGATGATGTAAAATATAGATATATAAACAAATATTTTTTTAAAAGTAGGGGCACATATTGTCCACTTGTGGTAACAAGAGAAAATTAAGAGCGAGTGAAGCAGATGCCAAATGACTGCTAGTTTTGAGAACACAAAGTTAACCTGGTTTCACCCTGCTGTCCTGTATTTTCTCTGCAAAGAAGATGGTAGGACCAACTGCTGGGAAAGAAGAAAGAGCTAGAAGGCTGGGATCTTTGGAATGTGGAGATTTTTAGGAGTAGTTGTAGGCAGACAGACAGTGCTTCAGAGAAATGCAGGTTTGCCAGGCATGGTGGTGGAATCACTGAAATTGGGAAAAAAGTAGTTGGGACAGACTAAAGACCTTGGATAATTCATACAGACCTGAGTCTCACTTTCTTCACCTATCAAATGGGACCATAATAATACTCACGTCCAAATGCTGATTTGAAGAACATTTAAACAAAATTTGGAAAAAAGGATTTGTAAACAGGAAAATACAGATGCCTGCTGATTAATACTGCAGCCTTTCCTCTGACCCCTATGAATTTTCTTTCTCTTTTTAGTCTTCATGTGTACAGGAAACACTAGTAATGATTGCAGACTTGAAAGAGGAGTCTCAAATTCAAATCAATAACTACTTCCCTGTGCTGTAATAGCTCCAAACCATGAGCCTATTGCTTTATATGTGGACAGGCAGCAGGCAGTGACCACAGTGCCTCATGCCTGTGCATCGTTGCTTCAGGTCATTAGTTTCTACCTTTTGAGCTTACTATCTATCTTTCCCTGCTCACAGTATTTTATCGTCTCACCAGGAAATTTAAAACCTTATTTACCTTGTCACACAATATGGGTGTCCCATATGTGGTAAATGAGAAGATGGTGGTATACACAAGAGTAAAGGGAGCTTAAAAGTAGAGCAAGAACATTCATGAGGACACGCCTTCAAGTGAGTACATGCCTTCAAGAGTAAACAGGGGAGAGTCATTCGAGGGTATCACCTTCTATATGCCCAGACTGTCCAGTGTGGCCAGTATACGCTGCTCAAGTGGTTCAATTAGTGAAGGGCTCTGGGTGCAATCTGTAACCTTACCATGCTTGGTTTGGAGGCATCAGAAATGACCCTGCTGGAGAGTGTGTGGCTCTCAGAATCAGTTCTCAATTTTCTGACACTTCTGAACCATTTTCCATATTGCTCCCGGACCTGCAGAGGCAAAGCATGCTCTGGGTCAGCTCACTGAGAGAGATGTGGATGAAAAGAGTCCTGGGTGGGAGCTGTACAGTAATACCTGCTGGCTGAGGAGGCAGTAGACCAGGAAGATGAAGACACCCTGCAAGCTGTTGATGATGGTGAACAGGTAGGCCATGACCTGGACAGCTGAACCCACCTGCAGGATTCCCAGACACCATGTGCATCCCAAGATGAAGAGTTGAGCAGTAGCTTTAAATGTCAACACTCTGGGTGAGAGGAGTAGGGAGGCACATGAGTGACCAGGAGCAACACAATCTAAGTCATTTTCATCTCCACCCCATGAATGAATGGACCTACCCCTCCATTGGTGATGAGTTCTCAAAATGAGTTGTGATCAGCTTTGATCTTTACTATCAATTATTCCACACAATGGCATTGTTATTTGATTGAGTGACACTTCATAATATGGTGTCAAATTTTTTATGATGCTCCTTGAAAATCCATAATTTCATTTCACCAACATATTGAGGAAGTATTATATATCAGGCTCTGCTGGCACCTGTGCAATTCCACTTCTGAGTATCTACCCAAAAAAATGAAAAATCTGGAGCTGGAATGGATTATGCTCAGTAAAATAAACCAGAAATAAAAAGAAAAAATCAGATGGTTTCACTTATAGGAAGAATGTATGGGAACCAAATACGGAATCAGGAAAAAAATAATTATAATAAATTGAAAAAACAAAATTAACAAGTAACTATATATCAGAGAAATTCTGCAGAGGAGGGGAAGAGAGAGGACTCAAAACAAGGGAGAGAAGTTCACAAGGGACTATGGTGATGGTGCACGGTGGGAATTTTACAGGGACTACACCAAAGAGGAGAAAGCAAACATTGCATAAAAAGGAAGAATGATATAAAACATATATAAAATATATATAATAAAACTTTTAAAAATTTGATATTGAGACAAGAAAAAATGCAAAAACATTAATGCAAATGGATATATAGCTCCTATGTTCATTGTAGCATTATTTGCAATAGCCAAATTATGGAAACAAACTAAGTGTCCAATAGCAGTCAAATGGATTAAGATGTGCATACATAAACAATGGAATACTATTCAGTTATTTTTTAAAAAGATAAACTCTTGCCATTTTCAACATGAATAAACTGGAAGAGATTATGCTAAATGAAATAAGTCAATGGAGAAAAACAAGCACCAAGTAATTTCACTCATGAATGGAATATAGAGAAACAAAAAAAGAACAACCAAAACATACCCTGATATGACTGTAGAATTGAGGCTATGACGTGGAATAGGTGGGAATGGAGGGTCAAGTGGGGAGGGTACCCAAAGGACTATGGTGGAGGATTACGAGTGTTTTGGTGGTGGGTGCAGTGTGGTAACATACATCTGGAGGGCTACGAACTGCTACTTCTAAATCACGTAGTGGCCCAAAGAATGTTACCCCAACAAAAACAATACAATTAAATTTAAAAAACAAAGGCAAGGAGGGGGCGGAGTAACATGGCGGCGAGGAGACGCTGCGAGTAAGATCTCCCATTAAAAAAAGTTAATAGGGAGGAAAAGCAGCAGGTCCCAGTGAGAACCGGGACACGGAAGATAAATGGGTGACGCCAGCAAACTACCCGAAGAAGAAAGTTGCCATAAAAGAGGACTAGAAGGGAGGAAAACGCAGAACCCTGCTCCCCTCCCCCACCCACAGAGTCGGCACTCTCCCACCAGCAGAGAGGAGGAAAACAACAAACTAAAACGACCAACAAGAACACACTATGCAGCAAGCGGGACTGTGAGTGGAAAGGAACTATTGCAGCCACCACACCCCGTGAACGGGAGCTGTGGAGAACCCTGCAGGATTCGCCATGGCGGTGAGCAAACAGCTCCGGGCACCATTAGAGAAGAACAAAGACCCCGGGAGACGTGCACACAGCCCTGGCTGCCGGTAAGCTTGCGCGGAAAAACATCGCGCTTGGCGGCGCACTTGAAAAGCAAATGCAGACCGGGATCCCCCGCTGCCCAGGTCCCCGCGCCTGCGACCTAGGCTTGCGGGGAGACACGCGGAGGCCCTCACGGGGGTGAAAGTCCCTCCCTGAGTGAGCAGGAACCAGGCGACCAGGCACGGGAGCGGGGTGCAAAAGGCGCCATTCCCGCACCACTGAACTGGGCTACAGCCCGCGTCCTGGAACTGAGGGCTTTGAACTGAGACCCGGGGCACGAAATTTGGGGCGTGGGTTCTCCACGACGGTGGGGCACAAGGCAGACACAGCACCCCAAAGCTGTTGAGGTTTACCCTACCATTCCCACTCTGTTCCCTGTCCCACGGGGTGGGGGGAGGTGAAAAACAGCCCCCCAAGGACAATAGGAGAGATCTCTGGCGCCACCTAGCGACCAGAAAAAAAAGTCACTAACACCCCATAGAACAGGAAATTTCTTAAGACTGCTTGAAAAGGGCAGAAGGCTTCTGGAGGACCCAGTGGCCACCCGGGAAGTTAGCCCATGCCAGGCCCCTTCCGACCAGCAGTCTGAGCCCACAGAGGGAGCAGGCACCCACGTCCGGGGCAGACCGGGTGCGCAGAAGAGTGTGCCTGAAACCGGAGGCGCAGGGACTGCATCCCGCTTCGCCATTTTAGAACAGGGACATTTCTTCAGTAAAAACTGCCTAAAACCAGCAGAAAGCTGCCCCAGAAGCCAGAGATGGCTCCTGGAGGAGCCAGAGGGGAGCGGAGAAGTTCACCCAAGATGCCACCCAGTCTGAGCAACACAGTGTCCCAATGCATACGAACAATTAGAAAACAGACAGTAGGGAGTAGAAGAACCACACGCAACCTAACAATTCCTCAGGAAAGAAGCACACCACAAAAAGAAAACCACTCCCCAGATTGCAACGACAGCAGCTTGGAAGAACTTCTGAGCCTTTCAGAAAGAGAATTTAAAATTGCCATGATTAAAAAAGTGATAGATCAGAAGAAGGAAATTGAGTCCCTAAAGAGGGAAAACAATGGTCAGAAGAATGAAATTGAGTCCCTAAAGAGGGAAGTAAAAGAAATGCAGGAGATCAAAGAATTAATGGAGGAACTAAAGAACTCTGGGAAAAGCAATGAAAGCAGAATAGATGAAATGGAAGAACGAATAAGTACTCTTGAAGACACAGAAATAAAAAGAAACAAAACAGAGAGGAAAGAGAAGTACGAAGGAAAAAGAATGAAGAAAGACTTCGGGAATTATCTGACTCCATGAGGAAAGGAAATATAAGAGTTATAGGAATTCCAGAAGGAGAGGAGAGAGATGTAGGAACAGAGAAAATATTCCAGGAGATAATTGAAGAGAACTTCCCAAATGCGAAGAAGGAGATGAAATTGATATACAAGAAGCAAGAAGAACACCAAACTTCCACGACGAAAGGAAAAACACAGCAAGACACATAATAGTAAAGCTCCCAAGAATCCAGGACAAGGAAAAAATAATGAAGCTGACAAGAGGGAAGAAACAGATAACATTCAAAGGAAAACCAATCAGGCTGACATCAGACTTCTCTGAAGAAACACTACGGGCAAGGAGAGAGTGGAGGGACATAGTCAACAGACTCCAAAAAAACAGATGCCAACCAAGAATACTCTATCCCGCAAAGCTCTCTTTCCTCCATGAAGAAAGAATATGGACCTTCCCAGACAAAGATAAACTCCGGAATTTCATTATGACTAAACCCCACTCCAAAAAATACTACAAGGAATCCTAAAGCTAGAACCTCAGAGGGACGAATAACAACAAAAGAAGACCAAAAAAAAAAAGTTATTAAAAGAATAAATAAATAAAATCAAAGGAAAGACAAACACAATGGCAAATACAGATGCTAACATATCAATATTAACTCTAAATGTAAATGGACTAAACTCTTCAATAAAAAGACACAGAGTTGCAGCCTGGATTAAGAAACAAAACCCAACCTTTTTCTGTCACCAGGAAACACATTTAGCTACAAAAGATAAAAATAGGCTCAAAGTCAAAGGATGGAAAACAATCCTACAAGCAAATGGGCCAAAAAAGAAAGCAGGAACAGCTATACTTATATCAGATAAAACAGACTTCAAACTCAAAAATATAAAAAGAGACCCCAATGGTCACTACATTATGATCAAGGGGACAATACTTCAAGCAGAAATAACACTCATTAACATATACTCACCAAACGAAAGACCACCAAAATATATCAGACAACTGTTGTCCTCTCTGAAAATAGACATCAGAGAAAACACATACGTAGTGGGAGACTTCAACACACCACTATCAACAATGGATAGATCAACAAGACAAAAAATAAGTAAAGAAACTAAAGCTCTAAATAAGGACCTAGAGCATTTGGGCTTAACAGACATCTATAGAACACTAAACCCAAAAAAAACGGAGTACACATTTTTCTCAAGCGCACATGGATCATTCTCCAGGATCGATCACATACTGGGGCACAAGACAAACATCAACAGATACACCAAGATTGAAATCATACCAACCATCCTTTCTGACCACGAAGGCATCAAACTAGAAATAAACCATAAAAAGAAGGCAAGGAACTTTCCTACCTCATGGAGATTAAAAACGACACTACTGGAAGACCACTGGACTAATGAGGAGATCAAAGAAGAAATTAAAAAATTCTTTGAATGGAATGACAAGGAGGACACCAATATCCTAAATGTATGGGATGCAGCAAAAGCAGTAATAAGAGGAAAATATATAGCAGTAGAAGCTCACATCAAAAAACAAGAAAGAACTCAAAGAAACAACCTAATCTCGAAGCTCAAAGATCTAGAAAAAACAACAAAAAAAACCAAACCAGTAGAAGAAAAGAAATAATAAAAACCAAAGCAGAAATAAATGAAATTGAAACTAAAAAGCAATCCAAAAGATCAATGAAACCAAGAGCTGGTTCTTTGAAAAAATCAATAAAATAGACAAACCCCTAGCCAGGCTCACAAAGGAAAAAAGGGAGAAAGCACAAATACACAGGATCATAAATGAAAGAGGAGAAATCACAACGGACACAGCAGAAATCAAAAGAATAATCAGTAACTACTATGAACAGTTATATGGAAACAAGTTCAACAATCTAGAGGAGATGGACAAATTCCTACAACTCTACAATCACCCAAAGCTAGATAAAGAAGAAATAGAACACCTATACAGACCAATTACAATTAGCGAAATTGAAATGGTAATCAAAAACCTCCCCAAAAACAAAAGTCCAGGACCTGATGGATTTACAAATGAATTCTACCAAACATTCAGAGACGAATTAGTGCCTATCCTTCACAAAATCTTCCAAAAAATTGAGAAGGAAGGGACAATACCAAACACGTTCTATGAAGCCAATATTATACTAATACCAAAGCCGAATAAGGACAACACAAAAAAGGAAAACTACAGGCCAATCTCCCTAATGAACACTGATGCAAAAATCCTCAATAAAATTTTAGCTATCAGAATCCAACAATGTATCCATAAGATAATTCACCACGACCAAGTTGGATTCATTCCAGGGACACAAGGATGGTTTAACATCCGAAAATCAATCAACGTTATCCAACACATCAACAAAAAGAAATATAAAAACCATATGATAATATCAATAGATGCTGAGAAAGCTTTCGACAAAGTGCAACACCCATTCATGATAAAAGCCCTTGAAATTCTTGGGATACAAGGAACATACCTCAACATCATAAAGGCCATCTATGACAAGCCAACAGCCAGTATCATTCTCAATGGTGAAAAGCTGAAAGCAATTCCATTAAGATCTGGAACAAGACAAGGATGTCCACTCTCACCACTGCTTTTCAATATAATACTGGAAGTCCTAGCCAGAGCAATAAGACAAGAGAAAGACATCCAAGGAATCCAAATAGGAAAAGAAGAAGTCAAACTATCACTATTTGCAGATGATATGATAATATACATAGAGAACCCCAAAATCTCCACAGAAAAACTAATTCAACTCATCAATCAATTCAGTAAAGTGGCAGGATACAAAATCAACACGCAAAAGTCAGTAGCCTTCCTATACACAAACAACAAATTTGAAGAAGAAGAAATCAAAAAAACCACCCCTTTTATTATCGAAACAAAAAAAATCAAATATTTGGGAATAAATCTAACAAAAGAGGTAAAGGACCTATACAAAGAAAACTATAAAACACTGTTAAAAGAAATAGAAGAAGACACAAAGAAATGGAAAGACATCCCCTGCTCATGGATTGGAAGAATAAACATTATTAAAATGGCCATCATACCAAAAGCAATATACAGATTCAATGCTATTCCAATCAAAATCTCAATGGCATTCTTCAAAGAAATAGAACAATTATTGATGAAATTCATATGGAATCACCAAAAACCCCGAATAGCCAAAGCTCTACTGAAAAAAAAAGAAGGAAATGGAGGCATCACACTCCCAGACTTCAAACTATACTACAAAGCCATAATCATCAAAACTGCATGGTATTGGAACAAGAACAGACATACAGACCAATGGAATCGAATAGAAAATCCAGAAATAAACCCACAGATTTATGGTCAACTAATCTTTGACAAAGGAGCAGACTATGCATTGGAACAAAGAAAGTTTGTTCAATAAATGGTGCTGGGAAAACTGGGTCGCTACATGCAAAAGAATGAAGCTTGACCACTACCTCACACCATACACAAAAATCAACTCAAAATGGATTAAAGAACTAGACATAAGACCTGAAACCATAAAATACATAGAAGGAAATATAGGCGAAACACTACGGGATTTGCACATCAAAGACATCTTTACAGACACATCACCCAAAGCAGTGATAGTGAAGGCAAAGATAAACAGCTGGGACTACATCAAATTAAAGAGCGTCTGCACAGCAAAAGAGACAATAACAAAAACAAAGAGAAACCCCACAACTGGGAGAACATTTTTGCACCCAACACTAATGATAAAGGACTGATCACAAAAATCTGCAAAGAGCTGATGAGACTCAACAACAACAAGAAAATAATCCAGTCAAAAAATGGGCAGAAGAGCTAAAAAGAAACTTCTCTGAAGAGGAAATGCAAATGGCCAACAGACATATGAAAAAATGTTCAACATCACTTGTAATCAGGGAAATGCAAATCAAAACTACCATGAGATACCATCTCACACCAGTGAGAATGGCACATATTAAAAAAACTAGCAACAACAAATGTTGGCGAGGATGTGGAGAAAAAGGTACTCTCCTGCACTGTTGGTGGGAGTGCAAACTGGTCCAACCACTATGGAGAGCTGTGTGGAGATTTCTGGACCTACTAAACATAGAGCTTCCATATGATCCAGCAATTCCACTCCTAGGTATTTACCCAAAGGACACAGAAACATCCATTCCAAAGAGCACCTGCACCCCTATGTTTATAGCAGCACTGTTTACAATAGCTAAGCTTTGGAAACAACCCAAATGCCCAAAAATAGATGACTGGATCAAGAAGATGTGGTACATATATACCATGGAATATTACTCAGCATTCAAAAAAGATAAACACATGCAATTTGCAGCAACATGGATGGCGCTGGAAGGGATCATGCTCAGCGAAATAAGCCAAAAAGAAAAAGAAAATACCGGATGGTCTCACTCATAGCAGGAATCTAGAAAACTTAAATAAGGGACCAGGAAAATGAATATAAGAAAGTGAAAATCAAAATCAACAAAAAACTATGAACCAGAGACACTTTTTGGGGGTGGGGGGCGGGAGGGGAAGGATTGGGGTCAGAATGGGGCGTTTGCAATTGTATGGGGGAATATAAAATAAAATTTAATATTAAAAAAAAATAAACATAAATAAATAAATAAATAAAAGAAAA